GACAGGACAGGATTAGTATCAGCTTTTATCGATAAAAGCAGTTTATGTATTTCTCTATTCCTGTCCAAGCTCACATTTGTACTGTGTGAGCCATGATGCAAACCTGCATAATAGTGGATCTTAGGTATTTTTCTTCCAAGAATGGCAAAGACTTTTTCCTTCTCAAAACTGAAGGTAAATGCTAAGATTTCCCATTTTAAAGTGTCATCTTCAAGATGTTTTAAGACTGAAAATGACTTCGAAATGGCCAGGGCTATGATTAGATGAATAGTACCACACGTTAAATGCGATTTATACACGTATACAAAATGAACTCGTCATGGTTACAATCAAATTAATCCATTAATTCTTGCCCATTTGGAGAACTTTAAATTTCAGGTCTTTAGCCATTTTCTTGGTAGCACTGATGGTCTTTTCATATTTTCAGCTCTCAATAAACATGGTTTGAAGAGTAAACCAACTTTAAACGCATCAATTTTAGAGGCTGACTCAATGGAAAAGTACTGGGCCAAAATCTCATAAGGAATTGTTGAGGCTCTTCTTTAAGTGAAGGTTATCAAGCTGCACACTGCCCTCTGGGGCGGCCCGAGGGGGCCGAGCCCGCCACGCACTGCCCACAGGAGGGCGGCACGGCTTCCCATCGGCCCTGGTACTCGGTGCACACGGGCTTCTCCCGGCTGGCACGTCTCCCTTTTCTTCCTATCCCAATGGGTTTACTTTTTTCTTGGTGAGGATGGAATGGATTGGGAACAACTTTAGACTATGAACTACAAAGAGTTTCTTCGGTAAAAGCCAAGAGGCTCTTCTCTAAGTTTATTATATACACTAATTGCAACGTTTACTATCAGGATTTATAACTTCGAATATCTACAATGATCTTCCATATTTGCAAATGTATCCATCTTTCCCAGAAATTTAAATAGAAAATTTAATGTTAAAGACTGGGCTGACCTTAAAATATTGTGTCAAGAAAATATCTGTGCTTCTGGATAATACAGACAAGATCCCCACCTTCCCAAATACACGAGGCACAACAGGACAAAATAATGTAAAAAAGAGGTATAATTGTGCTTTTTTCCCCCAACAATGAATGAATTGTGTATGTAGAACAAAACAGCATGATAATCTCACACACACAAATCTTTTAATTAACCTTATTTTCCCTTAAAAAAAAAAAAAAAGGATTGTTAATTTCTAATAATGCTACCATGAAGTCCAGATAGGTATGGTCCTGCACAAAATGCAAGCTGGCTATCCCTTTGGCGCCACTGCTGGGCAGCGAGTGAGTAAGCTGGGGCGGTGTTGGTCTTTCTTATCAGACAAATAAAAGGAAGCGCGTATTGTGTCCGGTAACAGAGATGAACATTCTTTTAATTCTACAAAGCTGCCTATATAATTCAGAAACATTTAGACGGATATAGCACTCAACGTATCTCTCACATCAGGAGCAATCACACTGTTCCAATAAGAGGCCCTTTTCTAGTTCTTTCTGCTCTGCCCTTCGGATTCATACAGGGTATAAATAAAGTTCATGACCAAACTGCACTGCTTGTGATAAGCAGGATTCGATTACATTCACCACTCCCTAAGGGAGGGCCCATTACCCTGGGCAAATACAGAGATATAGTATCACTAAAAATGCATTCAGAATTAGTCTTTGGTTTAATACGTATTCACCAAATTCAGGGATGAAATAAAATTTGCATAAACATGGCGGGGGAGGAAGAAGAATGTACAATGAGTTATGATGACCTATCTGGCCCAACCGTTTAGAAATGCAGAAACCCTACCAAACACCTCTTTTTGGTTGAATGGCCCCCTTAATTTCCAGACTTTCCCACAGAAGGTGATTCAAAGTTAAGTCTGAGTACCTCAGCTTAGGAGATTCACTCAATTCAAAGAGCATTTCTTGAGATGATAAACACAAAGTAAAAAAGGGCTAAAGGTTGAGCCACGAAGCAATATGATGAGGAAAATATCTAGGGATGGTGACGGCAGGTGATGTTCAGCTAAATACCTTATCAACAAGCTGGTTTAGTGTTTCGTGTGTACATGTACAAATGTACTTTTCATTTTACAACTAGTCTTTAAATAAGAAAAAAATGAGAAAAAATTTAAAAGTTACCTTTGTCTGAGGACTGATTTCTTTTAAACACAGATTTTTATGCTGGTTTAAGGTTTATCCTCAGAAAGTGACACACACACACACAGACGCACACACACACACATATGCACACACACACGCACACACATGAAAAGGCAGAATCCCCTTATCCCAGGTTGACTAGAGAACACAGACAGGCCGGGGAATCGAAGACCATCGTCCTGACATTTAAAGCTTAGTATCTTTAAACTATTAAAGTCTGTTGGTGAATCTTATTTAGGAGAGGGAGCATCTTTTGAACCACACAGGAAAACCAACAAGCAAGCACAGCCTTTCCTTGCCCTTCCTCTATTTAATCCACCGGGTTTGAGTCTCTTAGGACTGGCTCCACACTTCCTTTGGTAGCAGTCTGGGGAAATTAATGCTATAGCCTCTAATCCCGGACGGCGGGTATCCGCATCTCCCTCCCTGAACCCTTCCTCCTACCTTCCCACTCCCAGGGGAGGGACTCCTTATAATGGGCAGCATCACCGGTAGCCCTAAAACCGTTTGCACAGACTAACGTTAGAGATGACAATGAGGGATCAAAGATGAAAGTGAACTACGTCAGAAGATGAAGAGGAGAAAAATCAGTAACTGACGCTGCCGTTCTATTTACACACCAAACTAAATAAACTAGTTAAAATCAAGTTAATGTCTGCCCAGAGGATATTACAATTAACCAACACAAAAGATTAAAACAAGCAGCAACTTTTATATAAAATAAAGACAAATGAAAAAAGAAATTGTCAGTAGCATCTATCTCCTCAATGTGTCTGAAATGCACGTTATAAACTAGTCCATTAGTACAGCAGCTTGCTAAAAATTGACTTTGGTTCAAGCTTAGTTAAAAAAAACAAACAAACGACAACATAAAAAAAAAACAAAAAACCACACACCACACATAAAGAAGGTGGATGGACATTTGTTAGTTTCCCTGCTTGCAGTTCACTGATTCTGGAGGGGTTTTCGGGAAGGTGAAGGGTGAGAAGAGGAAACTTCGGTTGATAATTAAATTCTCTGGGAGATAAAACAGGAAGACAGAAGCAACCAGAGAGACATGAACAAAGAAGGGACTAAAAATGTTTCTGGCCGTTGAAGATGAAGGCGCCTGTCTCCCACATGGGTGGCCACACACGAAAACACAGTGTCCGTATCGCTGCCTTTCCCGACACCGTGAAGAGACAAACAAAATCCAAGCTCTCTTGGGGACGGACATCAGCAGAGCAATCAGAACGAAAGCAACCTGCCCGCTCTCTCTCAGAATCCCAGCTCGAAAGGGGGCAAAGTGCGGTCCTGGGCCACTGGAGATGGAGGCAAGCAGCCACAGACCCGTGGGGAACGTGATCTTGGAGAAGAAGGGGCGCTCAGATGCGCCGCATCGCAGGGATCCAGTCGTCTGGGAAACGCTTTGCTACAGACACTACAGTAATCGTACGCTGGCACAAAGCGGGGCCGCGTCTCCGGGTCACCCTCGTCCCCCTTCATCTACTCCCGTCAACTCTTCCTTCCGACAGGCTCATTTACAACGTCTAGAAACACCCTGAAAACAACGCCAGAAGCGAATCACCTTCTACAGCCTATAGTGGGACGTGTACCGCCGTTCTGACCGACTGAGCTGGAGCGCCACTGATAAAGGAGACACTTGAGGGGTGTGCAAAGTTCCTGCTCAAAGTCCTTCGAAGCTTCTAAAGCCCCCGTGCCCGGCTAGTAAGTGCATTCTCCAGGCACAGGGTCAAGGAGACTCTTCAGGTTAGAGGAATTTGCACATCGTCCAGCGAAAAGGCAGGCTGCGGCCCCCAGGAAGGGGGCCACGGCAGATGCTTCCCGCCACACCTCTTCGGGGGCACAGACTCGGTGGCCACGGTCTAGCGGAGTCCCTTCGGAACACAACAGAAGGGAGGGAGCTTCCCAATTGCAGTACATCAATTCGCTCTTCGCTAAGTGAATGAAAGGAAGTTCGACTGAAATGCTTCTACACAATGGGAACAAACAACACACACACACCGACAGCAGGAGCATTGCTCAGGAGACAGGGGTCGGGGGAGCCACCAAGTCAGGTGTCTGCAGTAGTCTTTGCTCTTCGGAACCAGATCCTGCCCCGCGACACGCGCGGCCGTACCCACGGCCAGCAGAAGGCGCCCCGCTGCACCGCAGGACCTGGGCCTCAGGGTCATTCACTGATCTGGGGGGAGTGAGAGCTACAGTTCAGCAGGAACCCCTTCCTACACAAAAGTGCTCCGAAGGCACCACCTGATGGGGGAGGGGCGTGTGTGGGGCGGGAGTGTCTGCACACACTGCCATCAGCTTCTGCACCAAGCCTCTTGCATAAGTGGCCAAAGAAAATAATTTTCTAGCACCTCTGTAAGAGTCATCAAGGACATTCCCCGCAGGTAAGAACGCAAGTCTCCCCTTGCCCCCAGCCCCTCCCTCCCCACAGTGTGGGAGCTCACTGAAATAGGATCCAGGAGCAAGAGATAAACATGTCCAAACTATATATATATATAAAAAACAATAACAACAACAATAATAGAGATACAGTAACACAGGCCTGCCTAAATTGTACCAGTTAAGAAAGGAACCCCCAACGCAATTGATACGATTATAAACACCTTGTTATGACTTAATGGCCTGTACAACAGACCCATAAAAATGATTTTTTTTTTAAGAAAAAAAGAAATTTAGACGAACAAGAAATCCCCTTCCTATATCGGAATTGGTAACCCACCTTAACTCGTCATCATGACTGCTGGAAATGAGAAGTAGTCCTTTCACTTATGGTTTTGATTTTTTGTTTCTGTTTTTTTTTTTTTTTTTTTAAATTTTTGGTTAGAAAGTTCTCCAATCCATGAAGCAATCCTGAAAAGACAGTGTTTTATTACAAAATTAGGCAAATGTTGTCCCGTCTCCATCCTGGTTTCTCCTCTCCTCCCGTGCCCCCCCGCTGCTGAAACGCGCAGAGGGAGCCGGTCACGCGGTCCGGCGTCAGCCGGGCTGGCGGCCCCGCTCACTGTGCCTTGGAGGCGGTGGTGGTGGTGGAGGCAGCCCCGCTGGCGGAGGCCACCGTGAAGAGAGAGTTCTGGACGGACTCGGCAGAGGCGGAGGTGGCGTGGAGGCTGGCCGCGGGTCCCGAGTTCCCTGCGGAGGCTGCAGCGGCCGAGACCAAGCTCACGGGGTTGCTGGTGAGCAGAGAGAGGTTCTGAGGGTTCAGGAACAGGGGGGCAGTCACGATGTTGGGGGCGCCTCCTGCATTGGCAAATACCAGGTTCCCGGTCGCATCCAGTGACGTTATTGGAAGCGAGCCGCCAGAGGCAAGAGCTACAGACAAAACCCCCGAAACAGGCAGAAAGGAGAACGTTAAAACCACCCTGGAGAAGCCGGGCAACACGTCACCGCCCCCGCCTGCCTCCGCCCCAGGTGGGAACAGGGCGGCCCTCTGCTTCACACTCCGCCGCCCGTCGCCAGACGAAGTGCAGTCACACCGCTGGAAGCGCCGCGGCGGCTGCACTCCCACCTGCCTACCGAGCGCGAGCCGGGCCCGTGGGAGGGAGAGGCAAGAATGACCGCGTGAGAGCTCCGCGGCGGACTCGGACCCTCAACCTCATTCCGTCTTCCTGGAAGGAGTTACGGAAGCTGGTGGTTTTGTTTCTAACGAAGACTGCTGATTTTAAGCTACTTCCGTTCAAAAGACAACCTAGCTGCAGCGACTGGGGCACTAAAACAATGCGCTTTTATCAAACGAACTGGCATTACTGATACATCTGGGCATTTCGGTATGAGGGACAAGAGGGAACCCACCTTTCAAAATGGCTTTAGTTTTAAAATAATTACACGTTGCTAAGCGCAGTGTAAGGTGTAGTTAATTTTTCACCTGCTGAGGCACCACATTTGATTCCCAGGACTCAGACAAAGGAGAATGAGGAGGGCGGCAAAGATGTAGGGACACGGGCGGCCTTCGGGGGTAACCTAAGGTTGGGACTTGCTTTGATGCTCTTCCATTACAGCACCCGAATTACTCTTCCACAGAAAGCAGTAACGAACTTTACTTGTAAATAATTGGCACTCTCATTTAATATCTTTTTCTGTTACCTGCAACCCTTCCCACGTCCTCCCTCCCCTACAACTACATTTTCACCTGCAGATTTGAGGGGCTCCCTAATGGCATTATTTGGTGGCTATCTGGGGCACCCGGCTGGCTTACTTGGAAAAGCATATGACTTCTGATGTTGGGGTTTTGAGTTCGAGTCCCACTTTGGGGGTAGACATTACTTAAATATTTTAAAAATTGTGGGGGGCACCCGGGGGGGGGGGTCAGTGGGTTGAGCATCCAACTCTTGATTCTGGCTCAGGTCATGATCCCAGGGTCATATGATGGAGCCCCAAAGTCAGACTCTGAGCTGGGTACAGAAGGTTCTGTGCTTAAGATTCTCTCTCTCTCTCTCTCCCCCCCCTTCCTCCCTCTCCCCTGCTCATGTTCTCTCTCTCTCAAATAAAAAATAAGAAAAAGTAAAATTCCAATAAATCTAGATTTAAAAATTCTGGTTGACTGAGTACACAACAAGAGCTAGAGGGACCAGAAGGAAGTGTGACATGGACATGACTATACACGGAGCACCGGTCAGTGAGACGTGGTGTGGCTTGAAGTTTTCTGAGATTCTAGGATCAGGGTCACAGAATAGTTCTAGATCTCCCCAGAGAGAACTTGTTCTCTATTCAGCGGTGCCCTGGGGAAGGCACCTCCCTTTGTAGCATCACTACAGCCCAGAGGTACACACTCATTTAAGAGAAAAAACGATTTATCACAAATCTTATGCCGAAAAGAAATCCTTGCATACCAAAAGGTTTACAGCTTGAACCACCAATTTTACATATGATACGGTCAATGAGAAAGTCAATATAATGTAAGGTAATCAATCTAATGATATATCAGAAGAAATCATTCTATATAAAGTATGTAGAAATATATAATGTATCGAGAAGAAATATGTATTCGGTCATCTGAGTGACCAAATCTCTATTTCTCAGATATATGTGGTCTCCATCCACAGTCTGAAAACACTTCAGAGCCAGAAAGATGAAATGGGTCTTGGTATCAGTGAAGGTAACTTTTGGGTCCCACCCGAGGGCACGGACTAGTTGCCCATAGGACCAACCGTGTGATCTGAGGGCTAGAACTTTCAGTCCCACCCCAACCTCACGTGATGAGAAGGGAACATGGAGCTTGAATCAGCCAAGGGCCAATGACTTAGTCAATCATAACTGGCCATGAAGCCTCCATAGAAACCCAGGAGGACAGCTTTTGGGTCTCTTCTGGAGCGCTTCCATTTTGGAGAACCAGAATACTTCTACGTGCCACTGGGCCAGGCCCCAGACGGAGGACAGAAACTCATCCTATGTATCGCTTTATCTGGCTGCTGATTCGTATACTTTATCATATCCTTTAATACACTGGTAAATGTGTTTCCCCGAGTTCTGTGAGCCGCTCTGGCAAAGGGACAGAATCAATCTGAGGAGGAGGTGGCGGGAGCCGCCCATCTGTGTCTGGTCAGAAGCACAGGTAATGAGAGGCTGGGCTTCCACCCGGTGTCTGAAGGGGAGGCAGGGGCAGTTCCGTGGGACTGAACCCCTGCCCTGTGGAACCGGCTGCTATCCTCGGTGGAGCGTGTTAGACACGGTGAAGTTAACCCCTCAGCTACCCTGCTGGTGCCAAGAACTGCCTCGTGCGGGAGCCGGGCCAGGAAACCTAGAAGCACAAGTCCTGTCTTAGTTCTGTCCGGAACTCATACCGTCTGTGAGACACTAACCTTAACTGAGGTTGGGTAGGAGCTTATTTTTGGCTCCGAGAACTCTCATTTAAGTAAGAACCGTTCAAATTTTAAGACACACACACACACACACACACACACACACACTGATAAATACAGTGATGTCTCAGATTGTTTTTCCAGAATCACATACACAGCAGCTTCATATGTAAAGCTCAGAAGCTCAATAAGGCAAACCCTTTGCTGTATGGAACGAGTGCACTTAGACCCATCTTAGACTGGATAGCATGCGAAGGCCAAGAGACCCTCCTGGGCTTGGAAAAGAGACAGTCCGAGAAAAACACGTTCTAGACTGCAGAAGGCAGGGCCTGACCATTACAAGCCCTCTCCAAGTCCAGATGACGTGCTGCCTCTCGTTCGCAGGTGTGGGGCTGGGGACTTTCTCTTGGTCGTGTCTGCCTGGGGTTGGGTCTTGCCACTTAGATACATTTATCGGGGGAAACTCTGCCTCCGAGGCTATTCACACAAGAAGATAAATGCCAGCGTAACTTCCTGTTTGTTGTTTGTTTTTTACAACACTCCACACTAAGCATATTCCCTGTTCTTACAAACTAGCACCTATACTTCCTGTAGAAGGTTTTCTTACAAGGACGTTTTCCTGGTCCTCAAGTCAGTCAGCATTACCAAGTCAGCCATTCGCCCCATCACCTTTACCTCGAGCAAAGCAAACGTCTCTCATTAAAAACAAAAACGAAGACAAAACACCAAGAGCCAAGTCGGGGCGACATACTGACCTTGGATGGTTGCCAGTGTGCTGTTGCTCATGAGCGCCGGGCTGAGAGCACCGCCCAGGGTCCCTGCGTTGAGGCTGAGTAAGGCACCGCTGCAAGCGCACAAGAGCAGTCGCGGTTACATACACGCGGGCGCGGCTGCCGGGACCCACACCCAAGGGGACGCCCCGGACGCGGGTTACTGCCGAGCGGAAGGGCCCAAGACCCGCAGTCGTGCCGCCTCTTCTTTGAGTCCCCTCGTTTTCCCCCCAAACACCACACTGGAAAGTGGCCCTTACTGCTGGGGAAGCCACAGGACAGGCCCCAGCCTCGTCCGGGCCTGCCGCCGGGCAGCGGTGCCGAGGGGTCCCGCGGGGCGGTCCCGGCCCGCAAGGGGCAGGCGGCTCGAGCGCCCGGTTTCCAGGTCCTCATCCGGGACAGGAACGACCGGCAGGACGCGGCCGCCCGGCCCCTGCGTGGGCCGGCCCCCACGAGCGACCCCGGGGCGCGGGGGAGGGACGGGGAGCCGGCTCCTTACCCAGCCGCGAACTGCGAGGGCGCCATGAGGCCCGGGCCCAGGCCCGCGGCGGCGGCCATGGCGGCGAGGCTGGCGTTGGCGGGCAGGGGCGCGGCGCCCTGGAGCGCGGCGGCCGCCGCCGTCTGCATCCCGGCCGCCGTCACCATCACCTGGCTGGCGCCGAGGGCCGAGGACAGGGTGGACGTGGTCTGCGTGGCGCTGGTGTCGCCGGCGCTGGACGCGTCGGAGGTGGCGGCCGAGGCGGACGGGGAGGGGCTCAGCGCGGGGGACGCGGCGGCGGCGGCGGCGGCGGCGGCGGGCGGCGCGGTGGAGATCACGGTGGCCGGGGCGCTGGAGGCGCTGTCCGTGGTGCCTGCAGGGGGCGCAGAGCACAGGCCGTGGGGAGGGAGGTCCGGGGGCGCGGCCGGCGCCCTGGGCGCCGCTACCCTAACTGGGTCCTGTGCGGCGTTTCTACGGAAACGAACCACACAACACCCGTGAACCCCACTTAAGGCAAGAGCCGTGCGGCCGCCAGGAAAGCAGCAGAAGACACAGCTTTCCGTGTCCCACATCGCACTCAGAAAACCATCACAGCAGCTCCGACTATGGAATATGGGTCTGGGGAAGAAACCTAGAGCGAAAAAGCTACTTGTATAGAGTCGTTCTATAGAAAAATCAAAGAGAGCCAGAAAAACTAAAAGTTCCATATTCTTCTAGGTGTCCGTAGTAACATGCGGAAATACTATGAAAGTAACAGATGCTTTCTTTGCACTGAAAAACCCAAGGAGTTGTTCTGTAACGAAAGCCAGCTCTCCAGAAGCCTACTGGGGAAAATAATTTCTTATTCACAGAAACAGTAACACACGAGGATATCGTGAATCTCGTAAAAGCATGAAAAATGAAGCTCTAGGAAACTGCTATTTGAGAGACCTTAAAAAATCAAGATGCCAAATTCCTTTCAGTTATAAGGAGAACAACAAACATTTGTGTACAGAGGACTGACATTACAAACATCATCACTGAAAACAAAAACACGCTCGCTGGAATTACTTAATGTTCGACATCAATGGTGTCCAACAGAAACAAAATAAATCTGTAATTCAAAACTTTCTATGGGTCCTATCAGAAATATCAAGAAGAAATAGGTTAAATTATTTTCAATATTGTATTCTACTTAACCCAATACATCCACAAATATTATCATTTTAACATGAAACCAGTATCAAAAAAGTATTTTTGTTTCATACCAAGTGTTTGAACACGGTGTGTGCTTTATACTTCCAGCTCATCTCAATTTGAACTAGCTACGCTTGTCTGTGTTTAAAGGCCACAGGCAGCTAGGGCCTGCCATACTGGGTAGCACACATCTGAAACGTCAAAAAGTTAGGCTTGTTGAATCACAAGGCGAGTGTGACAAACAGAATGTTAAGTCTCTCTGCCTACAGTAGAAATGACTCGTAAGGCAGTCACAGGATAGAAAACCTTCCGCAGAGCAGAAGATGCCGGCTGTCCCCGGCGGGCTGTAATTCTGATGCTATTTAGAGATGCAATAGGACAGTTATCAGTAATGCCGCAAACCACAAACGCGGGCTGCCTCCACCGGCTGGGACTTCATATACTGAAACTTACTGTGTTCTAGTAGCTAACCAACCATATATATGTATGAAGCAGGACCTAAGTGGTATTTTCTCAGGATAGAGAACTCAAAAAGCGTCTAAATTTCCCGTATAATACTTCCATGAGGTATAAAAGACTTGCTACATTATAGAGTAACTAGACCAATCAAAATAAGTATTTCAAACCACGAACAAAGATCTTATGTAAAAGGTAACTTTTTTGGTGATAAAATAGACCATTAAGCTGAAGAAGACTCTTAAAAAGTTCAGTTTTGTCCTTCTAAAAGGCTATTTTCAAGCCTTCAAGAAGAATCTGGCTGATACTAAGAACACCTAGAATTCAACTCTCTTCTCATTTGAACTCCGAGGCAATGTTTCTTTCACACACCATGCAGCTGGGAGGAAACGAGACCTCTCTATTTCAGTACTGACCCCATTCTCCCCACCCCCATACTGCTGCACAAATGTGTTATGTGGCCTTGGTGAATCCAGTATCTGTCTTATTGCTAATCAAACAGGGAGCATTTACTCCTCTTTCTGCCCTTCTCAAAAATATTTATCACTCTCCCTTTACGGCTGCCATCGCTAAATACGCCTACGCCTACGTGGATATTATTAACCATGGTTCCATTATTTTTGCAGTTCTAAGTCTATCTGGTCACTCTATCCCTGAGCCTCTGACGCAGTGCTGGGCCCCATGCTGGGCAGAGGCACACTATGCCACCTGTGAGACCTGCCCCTCAGCCTCTCTGGAAAGGTGAACGTCCTTTCTCCTTTCTCTTCTACTGCTAAGAAATTTCAATGTACTTTCAATCTTGTCTTGCCCAACGTCTCCCCTTATCTACCCTGATTTTATCTATGGGCACTACTTCCCTTTCAAAGTTCTGAAGTTGAAGCTGTCCATTTCCAGAGGACCCCTTATCTCGAGGTCAAGGGCTTAAAATAGGCTTTTAACTCTCCACTGCCACTTTCAGACAGACCATTCAGTGTCACTCTCCTAAAATCCCCTATGTATACAAAGAAAGCCCTAGTCAATCTCAGCAGTGAAGTCAACCTGGGCTGCAGAGCCTGCTTGGGATTCTCTCTCTCCCCTCTCTGCCCCTACCCTGCTTGCTCTCTCCTGCAAAATGAAGAAATAAACTTAAAAAAAAAAAAAAAAAAAAAAAGAAACCAAAAACCAAAACCAAAACACCTTTATAAAGACACTGCCACAGTGTTTTCCAGAGTGGCTGCATGATTTTACATTCCCACCAGCAGTGGGTGAGGTTTCCAGTTTCTCCACATCCTTGCCAGCACTTGGGTATTTTTGGCTTTTCTGATATCCATTGAATGAGTACGAAACAGTCTCTATGGTTTTCATATGCATTTCTCTGATAAGTAAGAACGCTGAGCATCTTTTCATGTGTTTGTTAGTCATTTCTATATGTTCTTTGGCATAATGTATATTAAAATCTTTCGCCCTTTTGGGGCGCCTAGGGGGCTCAGTTGGTTAAGCGTCTCACTTCGGCTCAGGTCATGATCTCAGTTTTTGAGTTGGAGCCCCACGTCAGGCTCTGTGCTGACAGCTTGGAGCCTGGAGGCTGCTTCCGGTTCTGTGTCTCCCTCTCTCTCTCTCTGACCCTCCCCCACTTGTGCTCTGACTCTGTCTCTCAAAAATAAATGAATGTAAAAAAAAAAAAAAAATTAGGGGCGCCTGGGTGGCTTAGTCGGTTAAGCGTCCGACTTTCGCTTGGGTCTCGATCTCGCGGTTCATGGGTTCGAGCCCCGCGTCGGGCTCTGTGCTGACTGCCAGCTCGGAGCCTGGAGCCTGTTTCAGTCTGTGACTCCCTCTCTCTCTGACCCTCCCCTGCTCACGCTGTCTCTCTCTCTCTCCTAGAAATAAATAAAAAAAATAAAAAAAAAAAAAATTAAAAATCTTTTGCCCTTTTACAAAATGAAATTGTTTATATTTTTAATACTTAGTTGTGAGAGTTATTTATATGCTCTAGATGCTCCTTTATCAGATACAGGGTTTGCAAATGTTTTCTCCAAGTCTGTGGCTTGACTTTTCATTTTCTGAAAATGTCTCTCAAAATATGAAAAATTCTGCTTTTGATAAATTCCAATTCATTATTTTCTTTTCTTCTATGAATTGTGCTTTTGGTGCTGTATCTACAAACGTACACCAAGGTCATAAAGATTTTCTCCTGTTTTCTAAAAGTTTTATTTCTTACATTTAGGCCTTTGAGCCCCTCTACTTAATTTCTGTGGTGTTGGGAAGGATCTAAATTCATTTCCATGAATATGGATATCCAATTGTCTCAGAATCATTTGGTGAAGAATATCCTTTTGCTACTGAATTGCTTTGGTCCTTTGCAAAAGTCAACAGAGCATAAATTTAAAGGTGTGTTTCCGGACCCTCAATTCTGTTCCATTAATCTAGAGTTTGCCCTCATGCTAGCAGCATACAGGCTTTATTCCGTAGCTTTGCAGTAAGCTCTGAAATCAGGATATTTATATCCCCCAACTTCACTCTTTTTCAAATTTGTTTCGGCTATTCTGGGTCCCTTCCATATATATTTTAGAGAATGAGTTTATCAATTACTGCAAAGAAATTTTTTTGCTGGAATTCTGATTACAATTACATTGGATCTACAGATCAATTCCAAGAATACTGTCATCTTTTTTTTTTTTTGAATACTGTCAAATTTTTAAAAGTTATTTCTTTAGACAGAATGCGCGTGTGTGGAGGGGAGGGGGGCAGAGAGAGAGAGTAAGAGAGACGATCCCAAGCAAGCTCCGCACTGTCAGCACAGAGCCTGATATGGGCCCTTGAACTCACAAACTGCAAGATCATGACCTGAGCCGAAGCCAAGAGTCAGACGCCTAACCGACTGAGCCCTCCAGGCGCCACTAGAGAACACTGTCATCTTAAAAATACTGAGTCTTGAGGCACCGACGTGGCTCAATCGATTTATTGATTTTGGCTCAGCTCATGATCGCACAGTTCATGAGATTGAGCCCCGTGTTGTGATTTTCTCTCCCTCTCTCTTGCTCATGTTCTCTTTCAAAAATAACAAAAAAAAAAAAAAAAACACCACAAACAAAAAAACAACACACACACACACAAACAAAAACAAAACAAAACTGAATCTTTCAAACCATGGACCTGGAGCCCCTCCATTCATTTAGACTTGGTTTAATTTCTCCCAGCAAACTGCAGTTTTCACTGTATAAGACTTGCACTTCTTTTGTTAGATTTATTCCTAAGTATTTTATTCTTCTTGTGCTATTGTGAATAAAATTATCTTTGTAATATCATTTTTGTTCTGTTCATTGATAGTATATGCAAATGCAACTGATTTTTGTAGACTGATCTTGGATCCTGCAACAACACTGAACTCATTTATTAGTCCTGGTAGTTTTTTGGTGTGTGGAGTCCTCGGGATTTTTACATATACAGAATAATGCAAATAAAGACAGTTTAACCTCATTCCTTTCAAACTGGATGTTTTTAACTTTTCCCCGTTTTCAGCGGCTAGGACCCCCAGTATCATGTTAAATGGAAGTCAGCAAGAGCTTGCTTTGTTCTCGATCTCAGGGGGGAAAGCATTCGGTCTTTCACCATTAAGTATGTATGCTGTTAGCTATAGGTTTTTAATGTTCTTTATCAGGTGAGGAAGTTCCTTTCTATTCCAGGTTTTTATCATGAACTGGTGTTGGATTCTGTCAAATGCCTTTTTTGTACCTACAGAGATGACTGTGTGGTTTTGGGCTT